CTAACAGGCCCCAGGACTTCCTTTCTAACAGACACATACTTTCTGCTATCCACGAAGCCTTCAGACTCTGAGGCTAGGATCAACTTTCTAAAGCGAGGGAACGATAAATTCTCTCCTAATTTTTAGGCAGGCTAGTCTCCCATCTCGTATAGTATTTATTTGGTTGGTTTAAGGCTCCTATATGTAAATATATATAGGCATGCATGGATACTTGTATACGTATGTGTGCGTGTTTAGGTGTGTGTGTGACAAACAAGTAAACTTAGATTTTTCAGTTCAATGACTAGATAATACAAAGGGAAACACAAGCCTTAGTTTTCACAACGCTGTTAGTTTACACAAAACTGACTGGTATCAGACATGGTAATATCATCTGAAACCCCAAAAGCTTTACATTGTACAAGCTGGAAAACTTCTATGGAAACTAACTTTTCTTGAGCATATATGTTCACGACATAATAAAGAATCCGCTTCTGGACATTGCAAACGCAAAAGGTGAAACAGAAGAACAAAACAGAAGTAAAGCAGTCGAACTAAAGAGAAAGTAAGCAACAACAGACAATAAACAAAGCATTTTTTCTCTAGATTGATTCTGGATTTCTATTTAGAAAGTAGACTGGCCACGGAAGACAGGAGCTGTAGTGGAACAGAAAAAATATAATGTCTTTTCAAGCTATCATATCCTTTCTCATCTGCTAGTTTGCTGAAGAAAGACTGTAAACATGAGAAAAGATGCGGACAATTAAAGAATCACGTAAAATAAGATGCATCTCCTTGTAAGGTGACTCAGAATAATAAAACAAAATGAAAGACATAGTAGTTTCCTTTTTCATCTCCTTTTAAAGAAAAAAAATATATGTACCCAAAATTGTCACTCTAAAACAGTGTTATATAAGGAATACTCTTTTTAAGGACAAGAAGCATTGTATGAAATGTTCTGTTGTTTTGCTTTTATCCATTGAGTATTGCTCTAATCTCTTTTTGACAGTATGATAGTACTTATCATATAAGATTAAAAAAAAAAAAACACTCCTAAAATTAAAAACCAATACCCCTTTATACATCCTATCAGTCCCTCTCCGACTACCAAACGCTGCAATGGTAGTTTTTCATTTCACATTTTAAGCACCCTAGAAACAAAGCACTTCTTCTGGTGTTCTTTCTTATGTTCACAGAACAATATGTAAATGACCGGAAAAAATATTCATATAGATTCTGTAAATTTATTTAGAGACAAAATAAAAGCGTCCTACACTGTCTATCCCTAAGAAGCCACAAATGAAAAATGAAGAAAATGTAATTCAAATACTGTATCTCATGTATGCATGCATGCAAATCAAAGTATAAACTTCAAGCAAACTGGATTGTGCACTTCTAAATATACTTCACACAGATATATACACGGTCTCTGAGAAAAGGGAAAAAAAAAACAGAAATTATGCCACTAATACCATGACTGCACAAGGCATCCTCAAAGGAAATACAAACAACAAGAAAATCGGAGAAGAATCTTGAGAACGGCACACCACCAAATACTTTCTGAGGCAGGAAAAAAAAACAACAAACACACACATGACCAACAACACTCAATTTAGAAACATGAATTACAAATGTAGATGAAACCCACAAAAACCTGCAGAATTCTGTAGAAGGCTCCAAAGACATAATCATCTAGATAGGTAATACTGTCTTCCGTAGCCTTGAAAGCAACAAGGTCAAAGGAAAAGGCATGTTAAAAAAAAGCTGTGGTCTGTCAACCAGACAGGAACCAAATAACAAAAGTAAAAGAAGAAAGTAAAGTCAAAGTCGTAATATACAAAAACAAGCCCTTCCAATGAGAATGAGAAATATCCACAATATACAACAGAGGAAATTCTGTATAAATCACCAAAATTCATCGAGCCAGTAAGAACCCAGGGAACTATAAATCTTTTCACTCCTTGTCTGCTGTGCTCATTTTCACAAAAGCATGAAAAATTTTACGCTATAAGAATCGACCTAACATGCTGTACGTAATGAATGAATGGGCAAGACAAACAAACTGATGCTATCATTCCTAATTTTATGAAGTTAAGATTGGTGAAGTAACAAGCTAAAATGAGCAACTGTGCGAACAATGTGAAGCCATTTCAGAATTCAATCTAAAATGCTATCCTCAGCTCAGCAGTCATAAAAGCCCACACTTATAAAAACAGGATGCCAGAAAGCAGTAGTTAAGAGTTTAAAAAGAAACATGGAAAGGATATTTATCTCCCTTTATTGCATATGAAGGAAATTTGCATTGATTGTTGTTGGTTTTACCTGTTTGCCTTTTCTTTTTCTAAATTAACATCTTGTCTATTTTGATTTGCCTCAAAACCCCATTTAACATATGTGAGAACTACAGGTTTATTGGGTATCTCATCATATGTACTATGGAAAACTGCTAAATTACTGAAAAAAAGATTTTTTCTCTATTCTTCACTTTTGTTATTCTTACACTAGAATGAGTGCATTGCTGTCTTGAGCAAAAAAATCCAGCTTTTTTTTTTTTTTTTTTTTTGCTTTCATTAACATCTACTACATTCTAAGAAGTGGCAAGTATTAGAAAAAACCTTTCTAAATTAAGGATTGCACTTACTGATGCAGCATTTCAGTTACAAAGATCTTGTGACAAACAGACGTCAGCAAAACTTAGAACACAGGATTAAAGTACTTTCCCACACCATCTCTCTCTAAGAGATGACAATGCACCAACACCACAGTCTCTCACACTTCTGAGGACAGTGTGGAACTCCTTGGGAAACGGGGAACCCTATCCCCGAAAGATAAGAATCTAATAACATTTTCTTTTTTCAGTTAGGACATTTAGGTGCACTGTACTGAATACCAACTATCAATACCTGCCACATATTAAAAGAACTCATAATCCACAAAAATAAAACTACCCCTCTTGAATTTCACACTCTTACTGCCTTTATGCACAAGATTTAATGCGTTAAGGAAATTTACCAGAAACTCCCTCGCTTAAAAACCTGGGAGTAAAAAGCCCTCCTGCTTTGCTACTCACATAGGCTACATATTTAGTGCTGTAATGACGAAAACAGGTATGAGTCATGGTTTTCTTTCATCATATATTCCAAGTCACAGATAAGCTCAGGCACTAGAGGCCTCTTCTGCTTCTTACAAGAAAAATTCCTGAAATCCTTCATCACAACTCTGTCAGTCTGCTACCTTCCACCACCTGATGCAATCACAGACTGCAGATCAAACACAGCTGGAATGAATACTAACCCCAGGGACTACTGACAACTTTACAGCTGAATTAGCATGCTAGCAGTGCCCTAACCCTTGTGTTTTCTACATGTCAAAGTATTAAGTTTTTCTAAACTTGACATCACGGAAGATTATGAGACACCACCACACAACCTTAACACTAAATTACAGTATTTGTCAGAAAAATTTGTTATGTAACTATACGGGTAACTGTGGTATTCATGCAAGTTTGCAGCTGTGGTGTGACTCCGGTTAGCTAAAGATACAAAATGTTGCCTGTTTTTTAAATGGCTTCCTTCCTGTAGGCTTCATTAGGCTGAAACAACAGTGATGGTTTTGCTGTGAAACCAGGGCATATGTCTCAAAATCTGTCAGCTCTAGCACCTTCATGTGTGAGCATCTCTAGAGTGCCCAAACTTTCTACATACACTTTTAGCTAAATTATGAACTTTTAGAGATATATGGTATTTGTTAAACACGTTAGGCAACCTAGTAAGAGCCCTCTATGCAAGTACAATAGTTCATATAAATTTTATATATATGCTAAAATATTTAATAAATTTAATATTTTACATATGTGTGTGTGCATTTATTAATATTTATTATTTAATATTAAATGCCTTCACTTCAGTGCAATACCGTCATCAACATGTACAGACAGAAAGGAAAAGCAAAGAGAAACAGAGTCTGCTTGTGCACATCAGCCATTCTTCACTCTAGAATCTAAGAGAGTAAAAGATACCACTTTTTTTTTTCTTTAAATCAATATATTTATGTGGTATAACCAAAAAGTGGAGCAAACTGATTACTTAAGATCACAGTATCATAGAACTGCTGGTCAGAAAAGGCCTCTGGAGGCCATCTATTCACCACACTAGGCCAGCTACGGCTTTCTCTAGCAGAATCTGGATAACCTCCAAGGACAGAGGTCCTACAAACTCTTCGGATAATGTGTTCCAGTGCTCAACTACTCTCCTAGTGAAGATCCACAGCAATTCTTAGATTATTCCTGGAACCACTGAGGATCGCTTTGTCTCTTTTACCACTGAATTCCTAACATTCATTATGTCTCCTATTGACAACTGTTTCTGTTGCAGTGTGTCAAATAGATAAAACTATTCTAGTTCACTAGAAATTCAGTCTTGTGAGATGCTGAGCATTCTTTCAGAAGCAGTATTTTTTTTGTTTTAAACTCTTGTTGAAATCAATGGGACTGGAGGGCAGCCTACATATCTCAAGACTGATCTGTGAAAGTTTAAATCCCCTGTAAATAGTCAATTTCACAACACCAGAGAAAAAAGAATGCATTAGTGTATTACCGCACTATACAGTTCATCTGATTAAATGCTGTGCATTAACAGTATCGTCAGCTTTTAATTTAAAAGCAATCATGAAGACAAACTATTTTATTGTATTAGCATTAATATGCAGTAGGTACAGACAAAGAAAACATTTTCTAGTATTAACCCTACCAGTTTTTGGCACAACTGCCTTTCCTTCCAGAATACTAATTCACAAGACTTTGCAATCTTTCTGAGACTTAGCTTAAAAGAAAATAACACAATCGTAATGCTGACATGTTTAAAAAAGAATAGTGTTTTTCATCACCACAGTACTGACAGAATAATTTAATTGTTGCTCTAACACTGAAAGAATTTTTGACTGACATTTAAAAAATTTTTTTTCTAAAGCTACAAAACTTAAACTAACTTTGAATCTCAGAAACAGTCAAACAGCACATGTACCTGCAATTGGAACATTCTGTGAGACTGAGAGCTGTACATCTCCTGTGCCAGGTGGCATGTCAATTACTAAATAGTCCAGTTGACCCCAGTCAACCTAGAAGACAACAATAAACATGTATGTTGGAGGTCTGGGTGGTTTATTAAGGTACTTCCTAGGAAACCAGGACTGAAATAAAGCATTACACAATATACAACATGCGAGCCAAGGACTTTCTAGTCATACTTTTAGAAAGGGATTCAGATATTATTTTTCAAAATGATATGCAGTCTTTGCTGACCACTCAAGGAGTATAACTTTATTATTACCTTTATGAGATAATCTTTATTGAACTTACCACCACCAACAATTTAAGTAATATGAGACTTTTACATCACAGCTGCCAAATCAGAGGCTAGAAGCAAGTGGTACGTAAAATTCAAGTTAAAATACTGTTTTTGTGTAACAAATACTGCTTAGGAACTGTTTTCGCTAATTTTAAACCAAATTTATCACTACTTTGAAAATTGGAACTATACATAAAACTCTGATTTTTTCTAGTTTGTTATTGCAAAGTTCTTCAGCCATGGAGAACTATCTGTACTCAACTTTTGTTAGGAAAGTAGTGCTGTTGCAAAAAAAAAAAACCAAACACATTTCTGAAATAAAAATCACCATCTATATAACTATATAGACTTTAAAAGTACATAAGACATCACACAATAAAACAAGTTTACTGGTTGCTAGGCATTGAATGAGAGCGACCAGTTAAAGTTACTGGGCTCAAATCAAGAGTTTGCTGTCATTATTTATGTTCTTTACCAGGCATGGATTTCCAGGTGAGCTAGAGAAAGTCTCTGTTGAACACTGTGCCCTGTAATGCACATTCTCATGATCAGCTTATATGCTGCAGGCTGTCTAGTAGTGCAGCCCCTCCTACCATACAGCCAGCAATATTGATATTGGGTCTTTTGTTTCTCCAGGATAAAAGCTTTTTTTTTTTAAAAAAAAAAAAAACACCAAACACCCAGCCACATTAAAAATA